AGCACGTTTAATAGAGAAAATACGCTGCACTATCAAGCTTTAATAAACTATTCCTTTTACATGTTGGAGGCCTTGCAGGCAGAGATCTTGAGTTCTTTGAAAATATTTTAAAAGGTTGTCTGTTATGAATACAAAAGTACTATAGATAGTAATATTTACTATACTAATATAATTTGGGAGGAAGGGATGACTGTTGGGTGGTCTGTTGCAATCCAAAGCTTCAGCATTAATTTTATTTTGCACAAGGAATGTCCTCGCTCTCTTCCCCCCTCTTCTTAATTTTTAGAAGCATTCGAACATTGTACTTAACTGCTGGCACCCCCCCGGCTGGGCAGATGTCTGTGGGGTAGGATGCTCTGGAATCCACTGCTGTCCGAAGTCTGTCCCATGCCTGGAGCCGATAGCGGAGCGAGAACGTGCAAATTAGATGGGAAATGGTTTGTTCTGTGGAGACAATGAGAAGCCTGTGCCTGAGACATTTTTAGTAAACCTTTAAAATTAATTTGCTGGGGTTTGCAATTTGGATAGTTGAAACCCAAGTATTTATAAGTTGAAGCTACAGTTTAACTTTTTTTTTTTTTTTTTGGGGTAGCTGACCCAAATAGCGACCATGAGAAGACAGAGTTTGTGAATTTGGTGCTGCTTTTTTCTGAATTCACTCGGCATGATGTTTTCTCCCATGATGCGTACATGTGCACTTTAATATCACGTGGAGACTTGTCAATCACTGCAACTACTAGACCACGCTCACCTAATGGGGAAGCTGTGGATGAACACTATGCTAAGGATCATGATGTGAAACTGGAGGTAACGCTTCATGCTATTTATCCCATGGTTGGTACTCTGTTTCGTTAAACGTAGATTTTCACTAAAGCATTAGTATTTCACATATGAGCTACTAAGTTTTTAATCTGTGTCACCTTGTCTCTCTCTCTTTGGGAAGACTGAAAGTGATCCATTAGCTTCATTCTTGTATATAGCGGTAAATATTGTCGTTTTGGTGCAAATACACTGAACTGACAGTTGTCTGGTGATAGAAATAACCTGGGACAAACAAAAAGGCACAATGTAGACTTCTGCAAATAAGTTTTTCCACTGGTATATTTGGATGTGCTTCAACGAAGAGAAGGGAGAGCTTTAAGCAGGAGCAGTCAGCGGGGAGCCTGGAGTAAGCCCCGCGTCCTCTGTGCAGCGTGGGGCACACCGGCACAGCGCAGGCACGAGTGACGCGCGGCCTGGTAATTGCTCGCCGAGGATCGGGAGCTTACTGTGCGCTACGCAGCCACCGACTGAGGACTGTGAAGCCAAACTTCGTGACTCGTACCTGCACAGTCCGGGTGCAATCCCGAGTCTTCCACAGATGAGCAGTTCGGAACCTTTTCTAAAACCAGTGCAAGAGGAAGGCAATTTTAAACGCAGGACTGCAGACCACATTTGTAGTGGTGTGATGAGAGGTAGCCTGTTGTTCTGCTGCACAGCCCGTGTGGAGCCTGTGGGCAGCTAAAGCATCCTCTTATATTTCTTTCTCATTTCTTTTGTACATCTCTCATGTCGGTGTCATGGCCAAATCTGCCCTGAAATATAGGGGGTTTCTACAAGCTGCCTTTTGTGGTCCAACAAAGTAGGAAATAAATCTTGGGAAGGTACAAGAGTCAGCTTCCTGTTCTGTAGGTGTCCTTGGAGCAGAATTGCTCACGGGGATGTACTGTGAAGTTTTGTTTCCCCCTTTGGCTCCTGCCCTTTTCTATGTTTTTGTGGATTTAGGCTTGAGAAATACGTTTGTGAATTAAGGCTTATCATAAAGATTTAAAAGTCAGTATTTGAAAAGTACTTACTAGCAATACTGTTTTCTTAATTCTTAAATAGGTGAAGTGCTTGGGTTTACCTGTGATCAGTTAAATGGGTCTTCAGTAAAATGTGACTGATACTTGTTTTTCTCTCTGGCACTTATTAGGATCATAGTATTATGGAACATATGGGCATTGACTCAGGAACCGCTAGTATTTTTGATGATGTAGACAAGAGTGACTTTAAGGCAGATTTTGGTTCGGAATTTCCAGTAGGTTTAACTTTTGACTTTCTGCATGCCTTTGATGCCTGTGCTTGCTGTTGCCACTGAACGTGTCTCCACGCTCCTAGCACCACCTTGCTTCTTCCATCGAAGCCGATGTCCTTTGGCACCCAGTCCCTGACGGCTTCTGTGCCGGTGCGTCGCCTCCTTTCCCTGCACCTCTGCTCTGTGACGACTCGCTGCTCTCCTGGGCTTCCCCGGCTGTCCGCCTGCTCGCGCGCTTGCACACGCACGCCTGCCCCGCTCCTTCCCTTCCTCCCCCTTGCACCCAGCATATTCAGTGCTGCCTATTACTTTTAAGCATGAATAAATATGCAGATCTACCCACTTTGACATCGAGGAACCCTGTTGATACCATTTGCTTTTCAAGTGACTGGTCAATGTTTTGGCTCCGCCTTCCAAATCTGTTTCCCTCCCTCTCTTTTTTTCTTACCGTTAGCCTGATTCTGCATTGCTTTTGAATCTCCTAGTTTCTTCCTTTGGACTGCTCTTGTTCTGCATCTGCATGGACTCCTGTGCCCATAGCTATCAGTGCAGACCCACTTGCAGGATAGTGGGACCCCTGTTTCTGCCTGACATCTGTCGTATTGGTGGTTTCAAGCATATCCATGCCTGCCTACAATGTCTCTTGTCACTTCCCACTTCACCCTTTTCATTATTTTCCCTCAATCACTGGACTTATCTCATTGTGGTTTCTGTGTCACAGCGGCGTAAGAAGTGTGGAGATTGCTCTGAATCTTAATGCTTTTTTCCCTGACTGAATACCGCTAGTTTAAAACTTGTCTAATAACAACGGAGATATGCATAGAGATATAATGTGTATATGCATCTTAAATTTCAAGCTTGATTACAATTGCCCTTGTTTTGTCTATCTTTGAAAAACCTCAGATGTTTAAAAAGTAACTGTAAGCAAGTACAAAATCCTATCTCTGAATGCAATTGCTGAATTTTGAAAGCTAGAGGTTACACTTACCTTAAACGTTTGTTTTACATGACTTAGATTTTTTCTCCAATGCCTGGGGAGTCTTGTGAGAATGTGAACTCTTCTTTAGACAGAAGAATTTCAGTTACCAGCGAGAAGTCAGTCAAGAGGGAAAGACTGAGAGAACTGATTTTTCCATCCAATTATGACCTCCTTCGCCATTTGCAATACGCAACACATTTCCCTATACCTCTGGTGAGTGCCCTCTGTACTTGTGTGTGTACCAGTACTGCCCGGTGTGGCAGCAAAGCATTTAAAGGAAGAAAAGTTCACTGTTTGAAGAGAGCCGGCTATGCAACCTCTGCGCGAGGGCTCCTGGCCGCTTCGCGTGATGCTGTTGCTGCCAGCGTGCAGACGCTGTGCGCTGCGGGGTGGCTTTAGTGCCGCGCACGGGCTTTGTTTTATCGAAAGGGGGTTCGCTGGAAGAATGCATAAGAGGTATAATAACGTGTGATGGCTTACTCGCGTTAAGGAGGCAGGCACCACAATAAAACCGCCACGTTCCAGGGTCTAATAAAAGTTTCCCAGGTAGAAAATTTGATATTGCACTTGGACAGACGGATGAATACCAAAATATCTGAAAGAAATAGTTCTGAAGTGTAAGGGACAGAATGGTGTTATTTCCTCCCACCCACTCCTCGCTGTTTCTAGCGTGGATTTTTGGCTGCTGCTGCTGCTGTGTTTGTCTGTAGGCTCATGGGAACTGAAGAAAGCCCCATGAATAACATTCCAGATCCCAAACCCTCATTCAGATGACTGAACAAGCCTTGAACTGGAATGTATCTGCTCGAGAATTTTTTTTTTTAAAACAACAATGATAACTTTTTAACGATATTAAATCCTGTCAATCCAGGAAGTGTCATGTGAGGGTATAATGTGATAACCACAGTTTTCTTTGCTTTAGGTTTCTTACTTCACAAAGTTTGGGTTCTGATTTATTGCAGGTGAATTGTTATGAGAATACTAAATGAGCTATTTCTGTTCAGGACGGTTTTGAATGCTTGCTTAAAGTCTGATTCATATTTTGCCCATTTTAAGGATTAGAAAAAAGACAATTTGATTTGGTTTTGCTTCTGAAGTATTTCTGATTTACAGGTGGAGCTAATCCAGGTAGCTGGATTTTGCCTATGCAAATTGATTTTAAAATCTTGATTATTGATTATTCTACATATGTACTATTTTTGGAAGTAATTGTAAATTAGAATATTAATAAACTTAGTTGCTGTTTTATAAATTTTTATAAAAAAACATGCAAAGAGAACACACTGGATGTTTATACTTACTCTTTATCTTAATTTTAAAATTTCCTTGAATTTTTTGTAATAACATGTTAGCTTTTTTCATACTCATTGAAACAGCAGCAAGGAAAGGCAATGGAACTTGGCAAGAACAAGAAATTTATTTATAAAAACTGCAGGTGTGATGTAAACAGATACAGCAATTTTTAATCAGTACAGCTTAAAATCACTTTCTGGAGTAAATAATGCCCTCTAAAATGCGTTTGGGTTAATTGTATATGTGAAAACTTTGCAGCTGAAGAACTGCTATTAAATAATCTCTTCACTTGATTGCACCAAGTCGTTTAATATAGTAAGTACGCAATATTTAACTTAGAAAAGGTGAGTTCAGGTGTTTACCATAAATAATTATGAGGTACGTTTGAGTCTGTCTGAGCATGTTCTATTCTTAAGTGCTGCTGATCCCTGGTAGGTCATCACTGGTGCAGTGAACTATTTCCGAAAGGCATTATCGAAAATCCTGCTAGTTGAGACCTACTACGTGAACATAAAACAAAGCGATTGGTATGAACAAGCAGTGGTCAAGTTTTGTCCTTCCGCTTGGGTTTATGATCGAGCAGAAATGTTGTTGACCGTGGTAGCCATGCTTGCGATTGCTCAACAGCTGTTTATACTGTGGGTTTGCACTCTCTTCTGATGTGTTTCGGAATCAGGGCTTTTGCATCTGCTGTTCACTTCTGTGTTCCGCCTCTTCGTCTGTGAAAACCTTTGTGTCTTTGGGTGCTGCAAAAGTCTCTGTAAATTTCAATCTGAATGATTTGGAAAGATGGTAATACAGAATAGGGTCAAAACAGAGGTTTGATACTGCAAACAGCAAGGTAGATTCTTTAGCTTTAAAGAGAGCTTGTTTCAGAGAGCAGCTGGTTATGGTATCGGTTTGGCTCAAAGTGTAGGGGATACGAACAATGTGGTATGGAACAAAACACAGCAGGTAGCCCGCCGTTATGAGCAGTATGTTGATGAGGGCTTTCTTCACGTTTGCGTAACTCTTGCTGTATTTGTTTCGGTAGAGTTGTCTAACAACAAGGAAATTGGAAATCAGTATCACAGCTGAAAAATTCAGGAATATAGCTGTGCATATGAAATTAGTAAACACGTGCCAGTCTCTTCCAAATTTTGTTTTGAAATCGATGCATCCTGCGCCAGGTTTTTCTTCAATGTTTTTTATTGGTATAGCCATGTTAGGCACTGTTATAAGGAGAACCATTGTCCAGACGACTGCAGACAGCATCTTGGCAAATCCAGGCCCTTGAATGCGGTAGATTTTAGAGCTGTGCGTTAGCTGAAGGCAACGATCCATGCTTACAAATCCCAAAAATATAATCGATAAATACATGTTCAGGTAGATGAAACAGGCTGTAACTTGACAGTGGAATATTCTCAGTTTCCAGGATGCAACTCCTAGGTCAACAATAATCTTTACTGGCAGTGCCAAAGTCAACAAAAAATCCGCTGTTAAGAGGTTAATTAAGTAGATGCTCATGCATTTCTGTTTCTGATCTTTTTGTGTGAATGCCCATAGTGCGAAACAACTTCCAATAAATCCCATAAGAAAAATCAAGTAGTAGAAATAGGTAAAAGGTTCCATTTCCTTACTGATGTGGCATTGTGAAACGTTGCTTGACATTGTAAACTTCTTGTGCAAGTTGGTTTTGCTGCTAGGAGATATCGGGAACCTACAAAAAAACCCCAGAAGACATCAATGACATCAGCTTTTCCTGAGCAATAGTACTTATTCTCTGAGAATTTGGTTTGATTAATTTCATGGAAAAAATGCAATTGGGAAGAAATCTTTTTCTGTCTCTTCATGCTGCTTCACAGGTATTCAAGAGGGCTTTGTTCTCATGTTGGAGAAGTTTGGAAATGTATTAGGATTTGTTCCTGAAAGCACATAGACTTCCGAGAAGCTTTTCCACTAGAGCAGTCTGAGTGAGCGAGTGAGTGGTTCAAACTGCGCACTCTCCTCCCCCAACCAAAAGGTTTGAATGCGCTTATGATTAAGCATCTGGTTACTAATGGTCACACTAAAACTTCATAAGTTTTGAACAATTGAAACTATGCCTAAAGAAGGGGTAGTATTTGTAGGAGTCTTGTTCTATAAAAATGTATTGGGAGTTTTGAAGTTAATGCACTGTCAAACCGATACACAGATATGTCGGACAGGTGAGCAAATAGTTTTAATCAGTCCTAAGTTTGTGCAAACTACCCTCTCTTCCTACTTGAACAGAGGCTAAATTAATTGCGTATTTGTATGAAGCCTTTAGAAAAAGGACATTTTGAAAGAAGCAGCTATTACACAATTTTTCTCACTTCCTTTTCAAGCTTTGCTAGAAATTACAGAAAAGTAAAAAATTTTGGTCTTATTTTAACTAAATCTACTACTCCCTGACTGAGGGGTGGTTGTGTTTGTTTGCTAGCTACACTGTCAGACTGCTGCACAGAATGTCTGCGGGAAAGGAGGCACTTTTCGTTAGAATTTCTTGGAATGAAAACCAACACATTTATGTCTTGAATAGCATCAGACTGCAACACTTTTTTATTTCATTATATTGTTCCTAATTTTAATATATGAGAACTACTGCATTAGCACATTTATTTTCTGCTGTGATATACGTATCCAGATGCGTATAATTTTTAAACCAAAATGATTGCAGACACTCTAGTGATTTAAAATGGGGGGAAAAAGCAGTTTGTTTCTTGCAGTTGGCTTTCTGCCGGTGGTCTCTCTTGCCCTAAAACATGTAAGCGAACTGAGTGAAGTCTGGGTGTGCGCAGCGTCGGTGAGGAGCAAGCAGCGCC